TATCTCCGCAACCCAACACGGTTTATTATAATACGGTTAATTGCGGGTAAACGACCTACATGACGTATATATACTTATATGGCAGGGGCGTATTTGGGATTTTGCTGTCCTAGCTGGGCGCACATTTTTTTCAATGCCCCGCTGTCCTCCTCCCCCGATTTTTTTCTGGCCTGACCCATAAAAAAAAACTTACAACGCGTATGTAAAATTTGCCCCCCCCCCCCCAAAAAAGTGCTGCCAGATACTCCACAGAAATACGGGCACCGTTGTGTAAAGATAATATCGAGTTTGTTTTCGTTCGGTTTATTGATTTTGTTTTTCGTCTCCGATAAACGTGCTGTATTTTTAGTGAGCGTTTTTATGCAACGATGAGCGAAAACCGTCATTCAACTGTCGAGGATGGATAAAAAAGTAACGTAAGTATATTTTGAATACCGACGAGCCACCGGCGGCTTGGATTTTTTTTTTTTTTGGGGGGGGGAGGGTATTTCATAGTTCATATAGAAAATATTATTTTATGACTTATCTATTAATGTCAATATCAATATAAAATTCTCGTTACCCATCCAACTGTTTAGAAGTTAGAATATTCTTTACTTCACCCTCATTTTCCTTTTTTTTTTTTCAATAATTGTATACTTTTTAAATCGAACGAAGTCTTAACAAATAGCTCTGTGTATATATAATAATACATTATAATACAATATTTAGGTAAAGATGAGATTTTTGAGACTTCGCTGGCGAGAGAATATCCTAAAAACCGCGTCGGGTGATTCGCGCTGGCATTTTTTCGTTTCCTGCGAAACGAATAATATAACCGTTTCGTATGTAATGGTACATAATATACAAAGACGGGCAAATACGTGTGCTCCGTAGGTATACATGTATAATAATATGGGCAAAGTAGGTATGTATGGAATACGCGAGTTTGGCGCTGAGTAAAAAAAAATGTAAATATTTGTCTACGTTCGGTTTGGCGTGTTCCGCGTGTGTTACAGAAGTTAGAATCGTGTTGTTTGACAAAAAGCTTATAAAAATAATATGTATAACAACGCACGGCCGTTCAAATCGTATATAAAATAATAAAGTGTACTATGTATAATGTATATATACGTTCGCCCGTTTATGTAGGAAGAAAAACGCACAAATACAGTACATTATAGTTGTTCTAAGTGAATTATTTAAGTATATAATATAGTATATAGCCGTAATATTATAGTACAGTAGTATATATACACGCGTTATATACATATGTATGTTTATATACTTATATGCGTAGATAATTTAAAATCATTCGTTTGCGCCACTTTCGTTTTTTTTTTTCAGATGACCCAAACCAATATAATATTTAAATGTACCTGCGCCATATAATGTAAGTGTATGCGTATACGTAATAAAAAAAAAACTTATATACTGTCATACCGAGCTAAAAAATATATTTATAATATATATACATATATATGTATAACCAAGCTAATATTATTATTATTGTATATTACGTTTCGTACATTTAGGAAAGTTTAGGCCAACTTATAATAATCGTTACGTTATGAGCTTAGGCAAATTTGAAAACCAGCTTAGATATATTATATAGTAATAACAACGGTTATATATAATATAGTACAGCACGTCGATACAGAATTTCTGAACTCAAGCGAATAATATTACAGCATGGGCTCGTGTGTGTTATGTTTTGTTATGACGTGCCAAATTGTGTTCATGGCTTTTTACGTTACACGTTAGGTACACGGACGGGTTTGGAGTGACATTCAGAAATTCGTGTACGTACACTATTATTGTATACATATATAAATAAATATATATTTACACTGTTGGCCAACCAACAAAATATTTAATATACTTTAAATAAAAAAAACTTTCCATAACCCATGCGATTGATAAAAAAAAATTGCCATTATTCGTACGCATCAACGACAATCATTTTTTACAATAAATTTTTGTTAGTGGTTAAACTTTGAGGAAATTTTTTTTTAGTGAACCAAACACAACAGAAAAAAAAGTATAAATAAATGAAAAATAATAAAACGACATGAGATTTTAAAGGTATATATACCAAGTCTATGGTCGGGGCAGCTCTCTCGCGTCTCATTAAATTCCTTGAAACATTTACAGAGCACAATAATGTTATTTACAATGAAAACTACTTATATAAATTAATGTATTTTTTCTTTATATATTTATATATAATATGAATATATATGTATATATACATATTATATATAAATATCAAAACGAATTTTTCAAAACAAACATGATTTGTTTTAGATAAGTAAATATATTATATATTTTACTATCTAACTAATTTTGAACACATCACACAGTAACATTTTAAATTTAAAAGAAAAGCAAACTGTTACCAATATATAAAATTTTTTTCTTCTAAAAAATTATAAAAAAAAAAAATATAGATTTATATATAATTATATCAAACATGTATGGTACTTCATAACAATCTATACCTGTACTAAAATGAAAAAAAAACACGAAATGAAATAAATAAAAACACCCACAAATCCGAGAAAATAAAACAAACACGTTATGTATATACACACATTCATGTAAATATTTCTGTTTTGCTGGATTAGATAAATGGGAAGTTTATCACTTTACACGATATGAAGCACATTTATGTTATATTTATAATATAATAATTAATAACGCTTTGTTAATCAAACATAGATACGTCAATGTCTGCTGTGGAAGCTGGATGGCATGTTGTCTGTTAAACTCAGGGTTGACGTTTATAAAGGCAATTTAAAAAAAAAACCAATAATAATAACAACAAATAAACAAATGTGATAAATACGAAATAATAATGAAAATATATGGTAAAAAATTTTTATCTCGTATTACTAATAAATAAGCACAACGTTTTAAATTAAACTATTGTATAGAAAAAAAAATTTCGCTAACGACTTCTACTTACACTTTAATTAACTTTATTAAAATTAAAATAAACAAAATAAGGAAGGAAACAATAATATTATGTTACTGAAAATTACATCGCAAGCCATCTGATAACGCTAATTTATTATATATAATATTATATAATTGATATATTATATTATGTATATACTGCAGGCCATTAATTTCAATTTAATTACAACAATGTATTATAATATGTATTTGTAAAAAAAAAAAACAACAAATTTTTAGAAAACATATACTATAATGTTATAAATTATGCAAAATAAAAATTCGGTACTACTGGGTTTCCAACTGACTCAAATTACGATGCTACCGTCTACCATCAAAATGTCATAATATATAAAATTAGGCACTATAATATATAATAATATTTAGGTAACTATTTTGTTATTAGGCGTATTGTATTTTAATAATCGCCACCCAAATGACGGACATAGTACATTGACGTAACGGATTTAAGATTGTCAATTATTAAAAATACATGGTTATGCGGTATGCTAAGTAACTCTACAGTTCTACACATACACTACACAAAGTCGGCTGTTTCCACTCGTGACGATGAGTTGGCAACAGCCTTTGTCGACAAAGAAAATTAATTATTCAGAAATGATTCGAAAATTAAATATAATATACATATATAAACCGTGTAAAAACCATACTCGAATCGTCACGTTATATTGTTGAACGGTAATAAGATTGTGACAAAACATATACGAACAAAATTTATCGAAATATATTAAAACTGATTACATCGTTCGCTTCAAATCATTCTCCTCTTACGCGCGACCTCCGTCGCAATAACCCAACTCGAGACAAGACAGTGTCGTATTTATTTTATATTCATACGGTACAATACTTTTGTCATTTCGTTCATTAGTGTGCACAGCTTTGTAATAATATATTATATTAATAAATTGTGTTAGTCAAATGATTGTACTGTTATTAAGTATAAATAGATGATTGTATAACTTATATTATAAAGATGATTCCGATTTATGGTGATGGTTTATGTATATACTTATTATAATATAATATATTAAAAAAAAAAAAAAAAAACATGCAGCACCCTAAAAAAATCCACCTGAGGGTCTGTGTATACAAATCAATATAATGAAACATGGACGATATATTGTGTACATATTAACTCGATATTATTTATTATGTTGACGTTATAATATAATATTGAATGAAATGTATAGATGAATCTTTATATTTGTATACATAAAAGCGAATTGTGTGTTTTATTTCGATTGAGATATGATGATGGTGTGTGTGGTTACAGTTGCGTATAGCGCGCGCCGGACAGTAGGTCATCTGAATTATGGACCTACGGACCTCGATGATGAACGTTTTTACCGCAACTGAGCTTGATATGACGACGACAATCGTCTCAATTTATTACGATGTAAACTCATCGGCGTTCGAAATAATTGATTTAAATATGTACGATGTTCGACAATCGTATGCAGTGTAGAATGTTGGCCAGCTGTAAGTGAGTATATACTTGAACAATAAGTTCCCAGCGATTTAACAGTCCAAATTAGCCTGATAGAGAGACGAGTGAGAGAGTGAGAAAGAGAGAGAAATAAACAGTAAACGAACTCTTCGGCTCTTTATTTGTACCTGTATGTATATAGGCGCAATTAGGGTTCAAATTCTGGGGGGGGGGGGCTACTGATATTACAGTCTATATCTAAATCAATGAGTGATATATTTTTTTTGGATGGGGGGTTACATCGTAGTCAGGGAGGCTAAGTCCTCCCTTAGTTGCCCCACTACCTAATTTTGAAAAGCTAGTTTATAACAAACTAATATTACGGTTACTCAGTTTTGGTTAAAAATCATTGATTTTCACGTCACGTCGATCATAATACAGATGCGCTAGAATCAGCGTCCAGACGACTGTCAACGGCAACGACAACAGAAACAACAACAACAGCATCAATATCAACTTCAATAATAACAACAACAACGACACCATACCAACATACAAATTATAATAATTATTATTATTACATGGGCGGTTGTTGGTTTCGTATATCAACACTTACTTAGTCGTTTAATGAGGTTGATGAACGCTTGGTTGTTCGACCGGTTATGTTTCTGGTCCCTTTGGCTGTATTTGATGTTGGGCACGGACAAGAGTCGGGCGTCCCGCGACGACCCCGCGGTCAGGTTGCCCTGCTTGTCCAGCGACGTCCGTTTCCGGTGCTCTTTGGTTGACCGCGGGGGTTTAATTGGCTTGCCGTCGCGGTCAAACAGCTTGAGCTCCGTGGGCCTGGTGGCCGCTGCTGAGGTGGACGACTGGTCGCGGGCCGCCGACTGCGTGCCACCGCCGTCCGGCCGCTGCTCTTGGCCATCGGTTTCGGTTATGATTTGAGGTAAACGGCCGGTGGTAGCGGTGGTCGTGGCCGTGGTGGTCGTCAACGTGGCGGTGGCAGTGGTGGTGGTAGTGGAGGCGGTGCCGACGCTTCCGGCTTCGTCGGTTTCCGGTTGTTCACCAGTGCCGTAGAACGTGGACGCCTTGTTCTTGGCGGGCGCCGCGTTGAACGTGTTCTTCAGTCTCAGATCGACGCGACTCAGTTGTTTCTTTAGGCCCCGCCACGAGTGACTGGTCCGGCGGCCGTTGCCCTTGACCGGCGCCGGGGTGGCCGGTTCCGAAGACGCGGACACCGTCGGCGGCGTCGGTTGCGGTGGAGGTTCACCCGGTTCCGCGGGTTCCCCGGTTTCCGGCGCTGCTGCCGGGATCAGGACGAGCGCCTCTTCCGCCCGCTCGGTCGCGTCGTCCATCCAATCCGGGTTGGCGGGGTTCGGCGACACCTGGGTCGAGTACACGCCCACCGGGCTCAGGGCCAGTTTGCTGAGTTCTTCGAGTTCCTCGGCTTCGTCTTCGAGGCCCTTCAAATGTGGAAAGTTTTCAACTTCGCCCGACTGATCGCGTTATTTATGGACGCGAATGATGGAAAACGACGTCGCGTGTACATTATAATATTATGTTACGTATGTCCCATAGTGCCTCATGCGGTTTACGCGGGTCGGGCGCGTTGGAGGGCGGACGGGTGGAGGTCGATCGATTAAACCACATCACCCTCCCCCGTCCGCCCTTGCACACTCGCCGCCCGACCCCCCCGGCCCGCACGCACACTCGCGACGCCCGAGTGCCCGACCAAACGTTCCTCATTTCGTTTTCGCGAGCACTTGGATTTGTCGGTCGAAAAAAAATTTAGAGTCTCGCAATCGCAAATCGTACCATCATGTTATATATTATTATGATTATTATTATTATTATTACTCTTAATATGTCATATCGTGTGGGTGTTAATAATATCGTGTCCACCTGCACATAAACGATTTCGTGAGTAGAAATAAGTGAAACACGACGGGATATTGCTGCAGGTATCAGCGGTTTTAATGGTCATCGAAAAGTTAAGAAAAACAAGCTTCAAGTGCCCGTGAGTTGCTCAAATTTGATTTGCAATTCCCATTAACCGCGAGTAGGTACGTTAAATACGCGGCGGCGTACATAATATAAATCGTAAACATATTTTATTGGCCATTTTACGCCGAAACTCGAAATCGTATGTGGGTAGTTAACGATTTTAAAGGCGTCTTTATGATTATCAGTTTAAATAACACACATGCCCGGAATGGTTACAAGATTTAATTACTGGTCGATTAAATGCTTACTAATTTTAACTCAAAACGTTTTTATAGCCGAATATATTGAAGTGTACAGTTTCGATTAAGTAATATTACGAAGCCGCCTACGTTATAAATTATATTTAAACCAACTCATCACAAAGCATTGAAGAGATCGAAAAATTTGAGCTCGGATAATCTTCAAAGACGGCGAAAATTTGGACGATATCAATGCCATTTGTGAAATAATTTTTCTCGAGTTTGAGGTTTCCCTTCGACTGATTTTCTTTATTTATTCACTTTTATTGTTATAATGCCATCGAGCTTAAATATTGAAAATGTGTAAAATCATACGTACACACTACGCATTGTAAGTATATACTCTTAACTATTCATTGCATATATAGTGATATTTTTATTTTTAAATAAAAACGGATCATAATAGGTGAAGAACGCAAAACTTTCGAGTTGAATATTGTCAATCAATACAATGCGTTTTGCATCGTATAGAAACCATTCAATAAATGCATATTATTATTCTATTGGTAAAAACAAAATATGATTTTTTAAAGATGTTTTTTTTTTAAATCTGTCCAACGCAAGACTCAGAAAATAACTTTATTTGTATTTGCTATTTTATTTTTTAATTAATTCGCAGAATCTGACGAATAAAAGTGGATACTAAATGAGCATAATTTTGAGAAAATGTGTCACATAAAATTTAGTTAAAAAGTTTGAATAATTAATGTAGTTTTTACACTGAAAGACAGATGAAAAAATATTGGTGGTTACAAAACTTTTAATATTAATTCAAGCCAACGGACTCGTACAAAAAATTATTTCTGACATAAAACTCTGGAAAACATTACGTTTAAGGATTCGTGAAGTATAAAGAAGTTTTTTTTCCATATTATAATATATATTATTATAAACGATTTTTTTTATAATCACAGAGATTAAAACTTGGATAGAGCAGTTCGCACTACAAGTGAGTGAAGTTTGGAAATGTTAAAGTAGTTTTTAACATGAAAAATGAAACATAAATGGAAATGCGTTAATACAAATATTTTATTTTTACTGTGCATATTATCGGGTTAAATGATGAGCCATTTTAATATATTATTATACTATTATAGTATAAGAAATGGACGAATATATTCTGTATTATTGGTGGGAAAATTCATTATTTTTGTCTATCACATATAAAATATATGCTATGATGAGCTAAGAGCTTCGCGTCTTTTAGATTTTGCTGTAATTTCCATGCAGTATTCTTATAATGTTTTTTTTCGCAGTAATCTCTATTGTGCGGCTGTCACTTCTCAAGCAGATTATACCGAAACCCACGAGAAGAAACTTCCTACTTGTTTTCCAGAAGCGGTGACTTTGTATTAAAACAAAATCGAATTAATCACAACTTGTTAGACGATAATGTTCTTATCGATATTCTTAACTCGTCTCGCATTACACTGTAACCGCCCTTGTGCAAAATTAATTTTATGTAAAAATAAATAGTTCTATGCGGATAATCGAAAATGTTCAATCATGATTGACAGTTTTGACGTTAATGATGATGGATTAAGCAAAAACAAAATAATAATAATAAAAAAAAAAATTAAAAAAAGACTGTGTGTTGTGTTCATCATTATTATTATTATTATTATTATTATTATTATTATAAATCTACGATAATGTCCTACCTGTCAGTATACAGGGCGCAGGGTCACCGTATACAAATTGTATAAATTATGCAAAAACCGCGCATACTTCGAAAAGATAAAAATGATGTTTTTATACGACAAGATATTTTTTTTTGAGAATAATTTTATTTATATTGATAACAACAGTTGTTCTTCACGACTATATAATATAGTTTACGCATGTTGACGGCTCGCCGCGCGTAGGCATACGTATTGTTATTATTGTCATTATTATTGTCATCATCATCATAATTATTGCGTATTACATATTTTAACATACGCGTCAGTGTGAAATATTTTTTGTCGACACATGCAGGTGCGCCTCGGGTTCACCCTGTATACCTATATATATGTATATATGTATATAGAGAACCTCGAACGCTCGGGACTATGATATTATTATGCATCTCGGAAACTATTTATTATATGGTAATAATATTGTAATATAATAAATCATGTAAATGTATATGTGTTTATAATAGGCGTTTAAGTACAGTGCGGCATCATCGCGTTGGGAAATTATTATTATAATGATGTTCGCCCGTCGGAAAATTACGTCAAAGCCGGCGGACCTAAAAACCTAGTGGGCAAAATGTGTTGTACATAAAATGTATAAAGTTGTATTATAATAGAGGCACATATACTGTAGCATTATGGTGGAGAGACGTCTGATGTTTTCGTCGAGACGGAATTGCGTTCGAATCGAATTGTCCTGGGTAAATATTATCTATAATTATTATTATTCGTTTTCTTCGGTACAGTGCGCTTTTTTATTATTATTATATTTTTCGTTGTTGTTTGTGCACGACGGAAAAATTGAATCGAAGCAAAAATATATTACCTGATCGATACTGGGGGACCGGCACCGTTCGCCGTCGCTGGTCTCGCTCAAGGCGGTTGTTCGTTTCGGCGACCTGGGAGCCCTTTGGTACGGGTCCGCACTGCCGTACATGTCGGCAGTGCTGATGTTTAGGAGAACACATTTTTGTATAAAGTCTACTATCACAATACCGTTGTCCAGACCGTAGGCGAGCCTGCAAAAATGCAATGACACAAAATTATAATACATGTTATTATATAGATAGGTATAATATACATAATGGTACTTTTGTGGTTAACCAAAAGGCGATATCAAAAGATATACAAGGAATTTTTTGATTGCGATTTTTTCAAACGTCTAAGAACATATTAATATTATTTTACATTCCTCCGATATTTAGTAATATTTATTTTTAAAAATTTTAAATTCCTACAATATTTCGTAAGATAATGCACCTAGTTATGTGGGATTAAAGAATCACCATAATATTATGTAGAATCAAATCATATCACGTCAAAAACAGGTAATTATAACATTTTCATGAATACATATTAATATTATGATATATCATTGTAGTCAAGTAAACTAACCCACATTTTTTCTTTACGGGTGCCGGATACGGTTTTTTTTTTGCACAAAAACATGTCTTACAAGAAAAAAACTTACGTCGGATTTTGTATTTTCCTTTTTTTTTATTTAAAAAACTTTCTTTGCCTTGCAATCGCCTTGCAAGTTGGATAGAAGCCCGATTTTCAAAATTATAATTATGGAAGCTAAAATATGTATTTGAATAATGCAGAATATATTTTTTTTTTCAAAGAATTTTTCAAGCATTATTTAAAGTAAAATAAAAATTTGGACTTGATCCGACCTACAAAAAGTGTTCATCTTTCAGATAAAAAAATAAAAACCCGACATAACATATCAATGAGGCGTGAGAGTTTTTTCTGTGAAATTCTTTTTGTTAATATAATACACCTACAGGAACTCCATGTAAATAGGTATCGGACTGTAGATAAGTGGAAAAGTATTATAATAATTAGTGTATCAACTGAAATATAAAATATAATTTTCAAATTTTTACAGAATTGTGGAACATTTGAGAAACTGACTTCAATACCCTTAAATGTACACACATTTTGAGTTTTGCAATTTTGAAGTAACTTATAAGAACCATATTTGCAATAATTATTTAGAACTTTATACTATTTGAGGAATGTAAAACAAACTTCTTTTTTTTTTCAAACGAGAATTAAATTTTTTGAGCATAAATTATTATTTATTAAGCACTAATTAAAAATAAACAGATGATTTTTTTGAAAATGTTGATTGATCAAAATTATTATATTACCGTTTAGGAAACTATGATAATTCTTAAAAACTCGAGAAAGTAATGGCTTAGTTGACTTTTGACAAACGTTTTCGTAGTTTATTAGGAAATGTTATCGTTGCGTGATATTTATTGCGAACACTGACACAGACTCGAGCGTTCTGTAAAAGTCCATGTACCGGCTGAATGTTAAATGTTAAATGTGACCCAATATCTTACCATAATATATATATTATGTGGATTATACTATGTGGATTACCGATAATCGAAATATGAAATTTGCTTCTTGCAAGTACTAAAAAATAATATAATTTCCCTCCCATATTAGGATTTTCATTGTTTTCTAGGAGTTAACATTATTTTTTGAATGTTAACATTTCTGTTATTACAATATATACAAATCATAAAATGTTGGTAAATGAATATCAGTTGCTTAAGTTTTCAAATCACCCTAACCGCCATATTTTCCATACCTATTTATTATCATGGGTTCGTAGAAAACTCAAAACCTGTATCGAATTTCACATCAACATTTAATAAAAAAAATCATCTGCTTCATAAATTTCAATAAAAAAAGGTTGGTTCTCAAACCAAAAAAGAGTTTGTATCATCACAGGCCACACCTTATGGCTTATGTGGTATATAAAATCTGAGTATTTGAAAATATGGTCTTTTGTACATATTTAAAAGTTCCGAAAATCAGAATTTGAACTAATCCATTATTGAAGAGAAAAATGGGGGTTAGCATACTTCGTGAATCACCCCGTATATAACGTCTGCAGTTGCAGTGGTGCACACAAAATGTCCAGGGTATGGGTTATAGGGCGTATAAAGCTCTCGAGATTATTCACTCTACGACCCTATCCCGCCCAGCGATAATATAAATCCAATGCGATTTATCGTATCTGCAGCGTATATTTACCACTAATATAAAGCAGACTTATAATTACATCAGGGCCTTTACAAACTATAATATTATTTGACCTAAATGTCAAAACGCCCAACCTCCGATCATTTTAATAGGTGTCAGCCGGAAGACGCGATCATATTATTTTCCCCGCGTTGTGCATCACTGGTTAACGGGGCGTCACCCTTTTCGGCCAAAAAAGATAATCCCTTCTAGGCCGGAAAAATGTTCGTGGAAATTTACATCAAACGTTTTTTTTTATAAATCGCTGAACTCTAAGCGTATCCACAAAATAAATGACCACGACTTGTGTTTCACAGAAAAAAAAAAATCATACACATTCTCAGTAATAATATTGATCTACGGTTGACCACTGGCCGAAACCGGACCGCGGTATGGGTCAACTGCATCACATAAAATATGTTATATTTTGCCGGTTTACCGAAAAAGTCTTATCCTCGGTGCGTCAAGCGTGCAGATAGAAATACCATAATAATATTATGTGAGGGGTGCTGACAGTGACGCGCGAAGGATTTAATTTTGAAAGCGGGGTGGGGGGAGAGGGATTATAGAAATCAACTAGTGTAGTATAACTAATAGTTGACAATTCTGCACACATAGGTACAACGCAATATGGGTATAGGTACTCACAGTCCGTACGATGAATTAATCGTGAGCGCGGTGATCTGACCGGGTGGTTCGCCGTTGGCGGAAGGCGTCACGCACGCCAGACACGCCTGGAAGCCGGGCGGTTTCTTCTGGGGCCCTGTCCGGACCTTGACCAGAGCTGTGCTTTCGTCGGACGCGCCCGCCGGTTTCGATGGCGCTTCTTCGGGCGAGCTTTCCGCTGCCTCGTCCAAGCTCTCCGAATATATCGGTATCTCGAGCGTCTGCAAAACACGGCGACAACGACGATATTATTATATGCGACTGCAGTGGTTAACCGCAACGGAGGAGGAGAAAGCCTTATTGTCTTGTCCGAAGAGAAGGTACTTAAAAATATTATGGGAAAAATATTATAGTTACATATTGGTTTAAAGCGAGATCCGCTTTAGGATGGGACAATTTGAAACCGGACGAGCCCCGAAAGATATCCACCGAAGGCACCGGCAGGGGGGGGGGATGACCGCGGCCCATGCCCCCCGCTATTTTAATTGATATTAAATGTTCTAAACACTTGGAAAAAAAAATTGTATTTGCTGTATTATCAGAGACTTTTGACTTGGGGCAGCTATTGCGACTGCCGCTCAGCAGTCCACGCTTTCGGGACTCCGCAATAGTATTTTTCGTCTAAAATATTAAATCTGCAGACGGATTACGGACGCGAGTTTTGTAGTTATTTGTTATGCACGACACAAAATCATGACGGTTAATGTTGGCGTATCGCGTAACTCGCTTAATACATAAAATTATCATCCTCGTAACCCGGATTTGCATATATATTTTATGTTTTAATGGAACTGACTCGCGACGTGTTTCGAGCACACACGATATACTAATTCCGGGACTTTTTATGGCGTTTTCGGAGTTATTGATTTTGTTTTTAAACATTTTTTTTTTCATTTCTCTTGTGATTAAAAAATATAAAAATAAAATTGAAACGTGATCTAGTTATAAATATTAAAATTAATATTTTTGTATTATTACATCACGTAATGGCACTCTATTTTTCTCATTCGAGTCAGACACAATATAAAATCAACCTGCGGGTTCTGCGACAAGACAGAATAGTATCGATATAGTCTAAACTCTAAAATCTAAATGATCGCTTCGCTACGCTGTCAGGCTACTTTTAAATTACACACATATTGTTTGTGTAATATGTTACATAATTTCGAGATAATTTGGTAACAAATGCATTTATCGTTGGACGATTATTTGTTGGTTTTTTATGCAGGGCATTCTGATAATACAGACTCTAATTATGGTTTATGTTCTGTTTACGTGCTGAAATGTCACGGTTTTACATATTATTGTGATTATTATTCACATCGCGGACTATGATATTACAGAGATCAATACAATACTCCAATTGATGAAATCGGCATGCTATAGTCGACCGATGAACTGTGTGCGGGTCGTACGTTATTATTTATTACCTACACGTATTATTATAATAGTTGAGGGGAAAAAGTCAACGTTTGTTTGGGCTATATTAATATTTTATTTATCTCCCGTGGGTCTGAGATAAAATTGCGTACGTTAAAATCGAATTGAATTTATTAAAATGAAAAATATTTGATGTTATTTTCACGGTTGTTGGTAATATTTTTCTTCTTTAAATTCAAGAAAAATTGACATGAAAATAAAGTAAATTCAGTAATAACGTTGTATATATTATAACGGTTAAGAATTGAAATCCATAAGCAAATAATGATATTAAAATTATACCTTCCTACCTACCTACCTACCAATACTATAGGTATTACATACGAATTTATAAGCTGCCGCAAATTGCATTAGTAACATCGCAAATAAACTTAAATGGCAAGACAATGTTAAAACAATAGGTTCTAATAAACAACTTTTATATTTTATGAACTGAACATTGTATGTACAATGTACGTATATTGAGTTATATCGTTATGCGTTACATTTGATAAAAACATTTCAGTGAGAAAATATCTATTTTTAATTGGTTATTGAATTGAATATTGTCATTATATAACAACAATGTGTAGAAAGGAAGATCATTATTATATAATAATTTATTTGAATAAGGACTGTTTTGTTATATAATAGGAACTATAGTGTCTATTATATTATCACTTTGGAAAAAATAAATTCTTATAAATATATTTTTAAGCTAGCTGACATTTACGTTCTCACTGTCCTTCCTTTGACAATTTGAAAGAAATACCATTTATTTATATTGAAAAAATTGATTTCTCATAATAATGTAATTTAGCCGAACGCATTAGTATGACTCATAATATATAATATAATAATACTATAAAATAAACGAATTTCATAATCTAAAACTTTGAAAATAAACTTACCCTAATACATTTTTTTTAAAAACATACCTATTCTAAAACTTATTTTTTAGTCTATAATTATTTTATAACTTTAATTTGAAAGTGCAGTGTAGTTGAAAATCAATATTATTACCAACAAATTAATTTTGTTTTAAAATTACTTTAGGTACCTAGTCCAACGATGGTATATTTTAATGTATTATTTTATGTCTACAAAAAAAAAGAAGATAAAAAGATTGTTTTTATTATTGAAACAATGCAAGTATTTTTTTTCATTATTAAAAAATATACATAATTTATTTAAATTAGTGTTTACTGATACAAAATGCATATATGTAGTAATTGTTTACCCTGTTCTAAAATAAATATAGTACCTGTGTCATTAAATAATGTAAAGGTATCATCCTATTGTTAACATTTAATTTTAATTTTAATTAAAATTACCTAATTCTGTACAATTATGAAATAACATTTAAATAAAAGATGAGTAGCACCTACAATATATTTTACTCGAATAGTTACTTTTTTGTTCTTTTCGTGTTTGTAAATACATTAAATGTTAAATCTTAACTAGTATAATACTAGTTTTCTGATAAAAATTGATAAAATACAGATAATTTTTTTTTTAACATAATATAATTTTCTAGTATTAAGATCACTTTATGGTGGTATTTTAATCAAGAATGTTTACCAAGAAACCTTGAAATTCAGGTCGGCCTGTGCAAATACGATTGTATACCAAATAATATAATATTACGCACACACCAGAATCACTTAAAATGGTCAACCACGCTCACAAAAAGGATCAATTTGAACTATTTTAAGAGTCAAAGAACAAAACATGTTTTAGTAATGCGTAGATACTGAATGCGTTTATAAATCATTATATTCTTGACGCTTTTTGAGGTTATATACTAAACGATATCTCTACCATATACAATAACGAGTATATAAACAATGCACTACATAACGGAGTTATTGCACTTAAATCTGATATATAGCTTTATACAAATATTCGGTTCAGGTCTTTCCTTATTTGCATTTAGTATATATCCTCTACCCTATTAGCTCTGTATACACTGTACATATTCTTCAAGCAAATATAATATATAATGTACACTCGAGACTACAGTCTATGTTTGGTTCCGTGTTTAGCTGTTGATCCGCAATGTCGTGCAGTATTTACGACTTATACATTTAGATATAGTACGCATATATATAGGTGATTAAAAAAGACTTAATACCTTTGTACGAGCGCACATAAGAACGGTTTCACGATAATACGCACGATTCATACTTAAATAAAAAAAAAAAAAAAACGTTTTCAGTAGTTACCTATACAACAATATTATTATTTTATAACCATATTATTATAACTATCTTATGTACCCCGTGATGTGTAATAAGAGGCAAAGGGATACCGTACGTATATAAAGCCGGATTTCCACTGTACCGTGTCGTGTACAGCGGACTATGTGTTTGTACCTATTTAACTATAATTGTACAGGATGTTTGTGTTATTATACGATGTTGATGTTATAATATTACCGTGGTTTCGAACGTGGACTCGAGTTTGCGGAATTTGAATAGCACGACGTACGACGAGATGCCGGCAACGGCTAATTTCCTGCTCTCCGGACAGAACGACAACAGTTGCACGGAAAATTGATCTTCGTCACCGCCTTCCGGTGATTTTGACCTGGCCTTTTCGAACACCTTGGCAGTTTTCAGTTTATACAGCACTTGCAGACTGCCGGCACTCGCGTCCCAAAACCGAACGCTACCGTCCGTGTGCCTGTAAAGGTCGCACGAAGCATATGTAATTATATTAGCTGCGGCATAGGTATAGTGGTATACGTAATAATATGTTATGCTAAAAACTCTAATATAATGTGCATAATTATTGGGAAATTATGATTTTATACATTCTAGTACCTAGCGACGATAGTAATATATTTTATGCCTATATGTGGATGCGACGTATAAAGTTATTTCGGTTACAATAAATGTTGGACATTTATTAATCAGAACACCTTTAAATTCAATAAGCAAACGGCCCGAAAGCCATTAAAAAAAAGTCACATTCACCAGCACTCGGCAGAATAATAATTTAAAATTTATTTTAATTTGTCAATCTATTCCTCTCACGAATACAGTCATGAACTGTTGAACTTTCTACGCAAACTTTTCTAAACACGATATTATTATTATGAAGTCCTATAAAGTAATTTAAAATTTCGTGAATTCTGCTCTTTTCATTTAATACGGTCCACTTACTACAACATTTTTTTTCACGACGTTGAACAAACCTTTTTATTAGATATTCTTTAAGTTTTTTGGGTAATCGGATAAGCTCTGCATTTTGTTATTCTATAGCTCTAAAATAATCACAACAGTAGTTGAAATAACCACGTATATAATCGGATTATTGGACCGTTTATTTGTGATGGAAAAAAAATCGAGAGATATCGAGGGTCACAATATATTTATTTGCTTTGTAATACCAAAGGATAAATAACATTGTATTTAATAAATAAATAATTAATGTATTATGATCATATTATAATTTATAATGTTAAATCGTACCTCCTAGACTTTCAAATTATTGCCACTCTGTATTAATTAATACATGATATACCTATTACCTAGTAATATCATTGGTGTCAATGTCAAATCTACATACAACGATAATAATTAAAATTTAAGTTATTACACAGTATATACTTCGGCACAATATGACGAAACGACGTAACTACAACGGCTTTTCAATCTCATAATATTATATATACGTTCTTTATTATGATATAACGTGAATCGCCATAATATTGGCTCTCTTCGATTTTTTTTATACCCCTTTAAAATACGAACGGTTTCTCTGAGCTCTTTTAATTTCTTTGGAGTTTAGGAAGACAACAATAAGTTAGACTTTGTTGTATCGTTTTTTATATACTTATATAAAATCGATTAAATTAATTAATTTCTTTTTTGTCGAACGTTATTTGAGTACGGTCGGTATATACATTTAATACTTACACAAAAGTACAAAATGTTATTTTTAAAGACTAATGGTACGTATACACTATAACAAACTTACAGCACCGTCGTCGTGCGAATTACACAAATATAATGTAGGTATAGTTACGGGGGTGGATTTGAATTGTCAAAACAAACCGGTAGATGCATAATATATGTGATTAGGCCTCCCCCGCCACAATGGTGTGGGGGCAGTTGGAACAGAAGTACAAGGACCCGACTTTTAAAGGAGGTATTTGAAATTAATTTGCAATATTCGAAATTTTGATTGGAATACTTATTGAACGTGATGGGACACTCGTGTCGCTTATATTGGATTGCATTTTATTAGGTTAACGTTTAGTACGAGAGCCCAAAGTTTGATGTGGGTGGCCTGAATGTGATATACTAATACTCTATTCTTATTTATTCTTGGACTACTCACCCGGTGAGAATGATCTCGTTGTAGCTGCAGGAAGTCGGGCTCCACTCACCGCCAGCAATGGGCCACTTGTTCTCGCTGTAGCCGGTCCGCTTGGATGCGGACCTCGAACCGACCGAATAGAATGCTGGTATCAAGTCTGACGGGCAGTCGGCGATGTAATGGACGCACGACACGGGTGACTCATGAATGTCCATCGGGTGTGGGTTCTCAAAACACGGGTACCCCGAGCTGAGCAGGTCGATCAGCACCAGGTCGTTTTGCATGAGCACCGCTACGGCGTACGGCTCTTGGACGTCTGAAGTGATGGAACCGAGAAATAATTAACCATTATTAAGTGATACAGCTCTAAGGCGGTTTAGTTACACGACGACCGTGTTGCGATGATATGATCTAAGGTGATGATGATGACCACGGAGACGCGGGAAACGGCCACCCTTCGAATGCAATAAGGGACATATTTTATTATAATCGAGAAGGATTTCCGTCAGCGGCGTACGGTTTGGTTGATCGATAGAGGTTAGGATATATATTATATACCTATCACGCTTATTTATAAATGACTGTTTACCAGAACGTAGTCAAATCTAATCTAACCCAGAACCCTTCTTGTTGGACTTTATTGTAGATTAAAAAATATCATTAAATTGTAATTTGTAATTAATTTACATGCTACTTTTTCAATTTGGTCATTATAGTTTTTGCTCATTACTAATAATCAAAGTCAACTACACATGAGATAGTAAAATAGTCAACTTCAAATCTTATAAACAATAAAGACTTGCTTGTACCAGATTGAACCTGCTACAATATAATTTGAATTTTAGTTAATTATTTGATCAACTTATTGCAACGAGTATTATTTTAATAATGATTCATCGTTTTTAAATATTATGATTTTGTATGTATTGTAATAGGTTTTTACATATTTTCTGCAAATGTCAAATAAGTCTCGTCCCTTCTCAATAAATACCAAGAAGTTTAACCATACGTTAAAAACCAACGAGATGCGTATTGAACGTATCAATTAAATATTGAACGTATTCCACGAGGAATTCTGCGAAAACAGAAAATAGAGTGGCGTTAAAAAAAATTACGTCATCGGGGTGAACACATATGTAATACTTATGTAATGATTGAATTATATAAATCAAGTGCAGTGTCATAGTCGTCAGATGATTTTAACCGCTATTTTCTCTTTTTAAAGAATATTTCATTGATATTTTAAACATACAAAAAAAAATATATATATTTACTATAATATGTTATATATTTAAATATAACAGTAGGTACTAATGTTTACGATTCTGTCGCGTGGAAACCGGATTACAGACAACAGTGTTTAAAATGTAAATCCTCTGACTATACACGCGACAACAAAGGGTAGTTTGCCAGTCGTCTATTGTCGTAGGCTGAGTGAGTCTTCATATCCATAGATTTTTTTTTTTATTTAATACTTGTCAGTATAGTCCTCATATAGCTTTGTTATATTATTATGTTTGCGATCATAATACTAAACTATTACAAAATCATTATTAGTTGATTAAATAAATATACTCAATACATTATTATACATTGTATGGTCCAAACGGGGAAGAGGAGGTCAGACTATACCCATGCCCACTGCTTTTGCTAACGATCCTTCCAGTTAACCCAAGTGCTTTCTTTGTAAAATTTCAAAATGTTAAAGTCTAACAAAGTAATTTTTTTTAAATAAATCATTATTTTTTTGTTACTGATCGTTTTAATTAATTCCTCAAAGATTGAACATCTATCTATACTAAGGCTGTAACATTCTTCTAGGAAAACACGCAGTGCTTTATATCCATTTAAAGAAAGCCGTCGGAAATATAGCTCTATACGTTGATAACTGAGCACTATTGATGGTATTCGCCGATATAGAAATACTTTTTGCTTCTGGAAGTTGGCGTTGGCGATAAAAAAACAACAACCAAAATAATAACGTCCCGACCACTGCTGTGACGATAACTCAGAACTGGGAAACTGTGCGTGGATTTCAAGCGACAATTCGAGACACAATTAGGTCTGAAAACCAATTATAATAGCTGTGCGAGCAAGCACGTGTGGCATTTATACACGTGCTACGCGCCTTATCTCGAACACCGGTAAACATATTATATTAACGTCGCTAGAGAGACGGTCAGATAACCGTGGAAGATAATTTGATATATTATGTATAATGCATATTTCATTTTTCAAAGCTAACCCGACCGATAATTTCGTTAACCAATTTATCGGAAAGTCTTGTATAGGATGCAGTGTAATTAATAATCGTCGCAGTGGGCACAGGCGCAGGTATCTATATACATATTTATTACTGTATAGGCCACGAGGGGATAGATGAATTAAAATTAGTAAAATACAAATTCGTATTTAATTATGGTTATTATATTATCGTTAAGTACGAACTTATAATAACGCAGTGTATATAACTCTGCTCAAGGGCCCAATCGAACGCCACTATCTACCCTGTGCCGACCCCTAAATAACACGCCTCTGACATGCACACGTCGGCCAAAGAAACGTCTAATTTTATTACACTTATTACATAAATATATAGGTACTGACCGCTGTTGTAAGGACTTTCGCACAGCGTAACGAAGTCGACGATGTTGTGGTCCATTTCGAGAACGGTAGTCGTTTTCCCGTGCATGATCGTTATGCTGGGCACGCGGCCAGCAGTATCGGCGGTCAACCCTCCGGAAAATATCAAATACGATTCGCTGGCAATGACACATAACGGAAAATAGTGAGAACAGTATGATTTAAAAGCACAAGGGGTAGCGTTAAAAAAAAATATTACATTATTTATAAAGTATACACATATATAAAGTATCAATAGAAAAGTAAATTATAGCACATCAGCAAAAAATTCCAATAATAATAATAATAATAACAGTAGGTACCGCCGTTATGATGATTAACGATAGTTGAGTTATATTACTGATTATGAAATATTATTTTTAATTATTGGACATTTACCCGGATTTCGATGATTTCCACTCCACTTTTTGGATAGGCTTGCATGATTCCGTTTTGTTTTTTGCTAAAACAAACAAAAATCAAATACATATATATTAATAAATTAAACAAGAAGATTGTAGATGTTTCATTTTTTCAAACATGTTGGTTTTTTGTGGTTGGGGATGAGGGAGGGGGTGGTTTCATTTAATCTAGGGAAAAAAATATTAATTTAGGTTGACGGCTTAAGTTTAAGGTCCATTTCAAGTTCTTAATTATACAGGTTAAAGCGGTCATTAACTTTATTTTTAAATGGCAAGTAAATAAAAATAATTATAATTATCATTATCATTATCAAAATATGTTTGCTGACCGTAAAACCTAAAAAAGAATCCAACGGCTACATAAAAAAGTTAATTATAAATTGAATCGTTACGAACAAACTTTTGAAAATAGAATCTCTACATAAAATAATTTTGTTTAAATATTTTACCATAAAACAACATAATTTCAAAATTAAAACGTAAGAAAATGCTGCATAGTTAGACGTTATAGTGATTCTACAAATTATTTCTCAAAGAAACATAATCCAACATTCTTTGTTCTAGTTATTCAAATAATATACAGTGATACATTTATTAGTGTTCAATAAGTAATAATAAAATAATTGAAGCTCGTCGAAATTTATTTTAATAAGTACCTACCTACCTACCTAAGAATAAAAATGAGAAAACAATGTTATCAGATCATTATAGTTTTACTTTCGTATTATTTTTATACGAATATATGAAAATAATGTACTTATGTGGAAACAAACAAAATATTTTTTGAATCACAAAAAAATACATCTTAGTAGTTATTTTAAATGCATATATTAATGTAATGGAATATATAATTAAATAATATAATAGCATTTAAGTTTTAATTACCTACAATTATTTGACATTAATTACATTACCTACGGAATTTTTTATTTGGTAATAACACATATTTGTTTAATACACAATATGAAAATATACAAAATGCAAAAGATATATACTTAAATGAATATTATGAGAATGTTATCATGATTTTGGAAATTCTGTAAAAAAAATCAAGAACTTAATGATTTGTAGTCCGTTTATTAAAGAAACTCAAATGATCTTAAATATATTTTTATGAAAACATACAAATTAATAGCCTTGTTTGAAATAGGTAATGCAAATATTCCGTAAACTAATTATTGGCTGGATGCCTGCAGCTATAAACTGTATTATTGATTCCGGATGAAAGCGATTGAGAAATATCAACTAAGTTACAACTAATCAAATTGTCATTACTTATTAGCATAATAAATATTCACCGTGAGGATAAATTATATTTGCTGGTTTTGAAGACGGCTTGACATTCCACGTGGTTAGACTGCCATCATTGTGACTGCACGTGAACTGCTTTCCTTCAAAATGCCAATCTATAGACTTGAGCGAGTCGCCCCATTGCCAGCGACATTCGGGTTTCTTTGTCTTCAGGTCCCACAACACCATTAGACCAGTCTCGAAGCCAATGAGCAGCTGACAAATAGTTTTTAACAGGTTTATTAATTTATATTATTTTATTAGGGAATAATATATTTACGTAATTGGACTTTATTATTAGGGCTCTACAACGACCTTTAAAATCTAGACACCAAACGTGTTAGTTTACTAAAGTCAGTCTCTTTTACATAACAATGTAATTTTTAACGAGCAATATCAATTAATTTAACTCAACATTTTTTTTTTTTTATTACATTTTTTGTATTGGCACAAATATGGGGGATGAGGCTTGGAAAGAATTAGAACCAAAACTCTGCCAAGTCTCGCCTCAAATCAAGTTCTTATCGAACAATTACTATACCTTTGCAAGTATAGTTTTTAAAATAAACGCAATAAAATGTATAGTTAAAAACATGGATTATTAAAAATGTTTTTTGTGGTACAGCATATTTCTAATACAAATACGTGCAATTAGTAATTTTTTGACGTAGAAATTGTGGTGACAGTATTATATGACCAGACAGTGAAATATTTTACAAAAGATAGGACGTATTTTTGTGTTTGAGTATTTTATTCCATTTTCTCAATTTTTTATATACTCGTAGGTTGTAGATAAATATAAAGTAATTTATATATTGCATGTGGATAATGATGAAAGTAATAATTTGTCTTGGTATGTCGATAACTTAAGTTTGGGGGGGGGGGGGGTGACAAGTCTCCAAACAAATTTGGACTATTTGCTCCTAATTTTGTAAGAACAAAAAATACGACGGTTCAGCGTTAACAAATAATTCGAGAACAGTATTGCATTCAAATTATATATAAAGTATATTATGTCATATGTCATATTCAGGAAAAAATATGCTCCAGAAGCAAAATTATGCGTTAAAGTGTTTTTATTAAAAAAAAAATTAACCTAATGTCAGTTGTTCTCTCCACAGGTACTATTATTAAGCCATATTATAGTTTATTTTCTGGACATTATTTGTATTTGTTTTTGGTTATTCCCACCGAACAAGTAGAACAAGTAGTTTATTAACCATTGTTACAATTTGAATTTTTATAATATATATATTTCTTTTGGTGTTTTATCCTGACCAATGTAATTACCAAAAGGACGTTCAGAGGTTCTCCAGAAAAAAAATCCTTTACAATTTATTTTTAAAATACGAGTTTTGTAATGTCCCAATACAATTTAATTTTCTCCACCCGCACAGAAAAGCAAGTAATAAAAACTAAATCGTCAAAGATATTCCAAATAGCTTACTCATTATGAATTCAAATGTTGACGAAAAAAACCCAAAAATAATAATAATAATAATTTGTATACACATAATCAGGAGAGAACGTTACACAATCAAATTCCTTAAAGACGAAATTGCCGATCGTTAGCATAAATGTATAAGTCATATTCATATTATATAAAGTATACATTGTGCCATTATACCGCCATGTTCGAATGAAATCATTATTGTGATTTGATACACGAGTCTTATTTTTCGTTTTGAATGAAAAGCGAATATGTTAAATAATGAGTTCTTTACTGTTCACGTTTAAGTGGTAAACTCGATGAACTTTGGTTGAATTGAATTAATTACCGTAGCCGAAGTATATCGTAAAATTAAAGAAAGAAAAACCCACTCGAAAACTATCCGTGAAATTTCCATTCATATACGGAAAACACACACACGTACCTACACTTAAATACATATATATATATATATATATATATATAATTTAAAATATTTACAAAGGCATTATAACGCACAAAAGATACTGTATACGGTTTTCAATATGAATCGATACACACAGGCTTAAGGTTAAGGGCTCGTGTTTTTCAACACCGACTTCTTGACAGTGATGCAATTATAATAATTAATAATACATAAAAACCGCGCATGTCGATTATTTTCTGTTGCCGTACTTGTACAGCTACTACAATTACAGGGACTGAAACCAAACCAGAAAAAAAAACAGATTTTAAATCCAGGATTTTTCAATTTTGAAATAAAAATATTTTCTGGTTCTTTGATTTTTTTAAAGTCATTTTTTATATATTAGAAAAAAAGTGAACGTTCATAGTATTATATTTAATTATTTGTAATTAGAGATTAATTATAGTCATAACATCTAGGATTCCTCTTAACCCTTAATTTGTCTACTTTAAAAAACCCGAAACAGATATTAAGAACCTTTTGAAAAATAACTGAGAACCAGAACCGAAAAAAACACGAAGTACCATTTCTTGGAAAACAGCCATGCATAATAATATTATACCTTACTGCAGATGTGCGATTAATGCGTACCTAATATATATAATATTATAATATGTCACACCCAGCGATAGAATTTTTATTAAATACTATTGATTGATATTCTCGTATACAAACCAATATTGTTGTTTTCAATCAAATTTCTACTCTTCCAATATAGATTATATATATTATAAATAATATACAGAGCAATATAATATTGCACAGGTGGCCAATAATCTGACATGTGTCAGCAATCAGAGATAGATAAGCACTATGTGTCGTGTGCCTATATATAATTGATCTATATTATATATGGATTCGAGAAAAGTGTGTGCGTGTGTGTGTGTGTGTGTGTGTGTGTGTGTGTACGATCTAAATATATATAATATTATATGTAAAATATATATATACGTGGATTTACCTTGCTGGAATCTGCAGGATTATCGCTCAGGTGTACGATGGGTCCTGGATGAGTGGGTCTGGTCCTAAAACAACAACAAAATAAACGCGATTTAGATTAAAATAACCTAGAACCAGTAATTGCGGGCGAGATGAAGGGAATGAGGAGGAACAAGCGTTGGAGGACGAAAAGGAATAGGAGAAAGATGAGGTTGCTGGTGAGGCGGTCGCCGGGAGGTGTGGGCGGGGTCGAAATTAATTTCGAACATTCGGACTCTGGGGCCGATGTTGTGCGCCGAAATTTATCGCCGCTGCACTTAAATCCGGGACATATAATGGGATTATACGCGTACCAACGCTCATTTTCCGGTCCACAAATACCTACGGCTCGGGAGAGGGTCTAATACCGTAATATATGAATGAGCGACGCGTTATTAACGACTGGAAAGGAAATAAAAAAAATATATAAAAAAGTAAAAATAAAAAACAATATACACACCTTCCCGCGTCACCGTTAATGAGGAGGAATGTGTGTGTGGGGTCGTGTATATATCTATAATATATGGGCACTGTTCATATGTATACATCGTACATGACTTATATTATAATATACTACACCGGTGGTTGCGAGCGCTCGGGGATGGAAAAACGGCGTTATTTCCACCATACCAGCATCCCCTTTGTGCATACGCCACCTATAACCCGGTCCACTGACACCCCCGAATGTCGAGGCCGTTCGAGATAAACCTTCTACATACACGCTAATTCTAAACGCATTATGATTTCGGTCATAATTTATAACCCAACTGTAACGCCCATTGCTCGCATCATAAACGAACTACATAGCACGATTATTTTAACGCTATATATAGGGACTTATTTATAAATTTCATCATCTGCATAGCTGTTGCAGTCATCGCGTACCAATATAATATATACATGCGAGGTATGACGGTGTAAGTCTTTTCACTTTCTGATTTTTTGCCACTGCACTGCAATGTACCTATAGGTAGGTCGCCGACATTTGAAATATTTACACGTTTATAACGGCCCGATAACGATCGTCGGCTTCCTTTTTCATCCACCTGGATGAAACGTATGCGAATATTATTACAACTCGCGCAGTTTCACTGCGCAGTGTAATATAATATTTTCTGACATATTTTATACGTTTTGCACAGTTTTGCACAGTTTTTTTTTTAAATTTATTTTACCGCATTACATCATCTCGCTGCTTTTGTACTGCATTTATAAAAACTTTGTTGCGCGCATAAACTTTCGTCAAAGAAAAATACGTTGTTTCTACCACTGTTATATTGTCTATACGCCATTACCACCAAAACTACTACATATATATATATATGTGTGTGTGTGTGTGTGTGTATTACCACTACCACTACCAACACCGTCTATACCACTACTACTTCAACTACTATACCGTAGGTTTACAATAGCGGTATGCGAACGTTAAGAATTCGTTTAAAGTTAAATATATATATATATATGTGTGTATAGACTAGAACGTTTGAAAAGTTTACGAGTAACAAAAACAACAGACCATTTTGTAGTTCATAAATCGTTTTTTTATTTATGTGTATATGGTTAGAAAATCTACTGTCGGTTTTTGCGGGCAAGGACTCGCATTAATAGTGATGGGACTACCGGGGACGCGGTCGAAGTGCAAACCCTATTCTGACAGTTTCGTAAAAGGGTGTGCTTAAGGAGGTCGTATTATACCGTCGGTGATTATTTAAAACCGGCAACGCGCTAAAGAACAAATAAACTCATAGACGCTTTTGCGCAGACGTTTATGATAATAATAAACGGCCTATATGTGTGTACATTATAGACTGCAGGATCCGCAAGAATTGCAGAACAATGCCGTGTATACCGTCATAATATATCTCGTATACCGTACATATTACATATTATACAATGAGCGTTGACTCGAACGTCGTCACACGTCATTACTCGTTGTACACGTCACTTTGTTGTATGACGCCACCGTATCGGCGAAAACCGATAGTATACGACCAACGGCGATAATATAAATCATGTACGCGCGATCCAAACAATAAATGACGTCCTGGATGTAATATTCGTAGGCCGATACACTTGCAGCGGCAGGAATGCAGGATTATATACGCGGAAACGGTCTTGCCAGCACCATCCTGGAGGACGTATAGTGGTGGTCCGACGTAGTGTATTTGAGATCATAATTTATCGGCCACTTACGACGATAACAATACATATTGGATTTAGTCCGTCGATTCCTCGCACCAGTAATTCGTTCTGATGGCAAGTGCGCGACGACACTGCAGCAGACCCGTAAATAACCACTGCCACTATACACGCGACGACGTGTGCGCGAGATGGGACCTAACCTATTCGAGTGACGCAAATGTAGTGCAAAACGCAAAACGTTATTCATATAAGACTAGATAATAACGTAGTAAATAGCGTATGGGCGTGTATAGTACATAGTAATATAATATGTCTGCTGCAGCTGCAGCATGCAGACACATTTTCAAAAACCGCGGTATTTTTTCACGGCAAGAGTCATTGTTATTTTTGGATTTAATTCCCGTTGCAACCGATGGTATTGAAAGAATTTTTCAACGCGCGGTTTAATAGAAAAATTCAACGAAAACCCCGTATCGAACGAATACCAGCTAGTATACACACATATACCTACATGGCTACATTTTATGCGATAACAGTATACATTGATATCAGTTCAATGCAAGAACCACTATATACGAGTGTAGACACTAAACGCACAACGGGTTGAATAATTTAAAACGAAATTAATACTATACAGATACGGAGGTACCTATATATTATTATGACGACAGGTATTATGAATTTGAAACGAGCGCCGAGAGACGTTTCGTCTCGGATTAATGCCTGCCGAGTGTCGCGTAGTGCAATATTGAATAAAAGGCAAGTGTAGCTTAATTCGTTAGAGAATTCATTTAAACTCCGAATACGTTGGAAATTCGACTGTCTCCGCGTAGGGACGAGGCAGTCGTTTACAATAGACCATATTGGAATAAAAAAATAATAATTTATACGATGCGTTTATACAAGTTGTGCAATAATTAGATGCGATTCCATCATCTCGGTTCCGATATGGTCTGTGCGGGTGGGTTTATTCAGACATCAGACAGTACGAGTTCGCGAGACACGACGCACCGGACAAACTACAGTGTTTTTGGTCCGAAAAAACCGCTTCGATACTTTTATCGATGTACGATATTATTGTTATTGTGGCCGTGGTTATGACGGCGGAATGCTGTACGCGAATGAACCGAAACGGGCGTACCTACCTACCTACCTACAATAATAATAATAATAATAATAATAATAATAATAATAATAATAATAATACAATATACAATATTATCATGACATCGCGGTCACCGTTCGAATACCGTCCGCGGCCAGTGGACGAGGGATGGAAGCAGGGAAACGTGCCATAGGTATACGCAACAATACGTCCAATGTGTATATACGAGTATAGGACGTCTAGACTTGGGCGGGTCCGTCTCAACGGTTGGCACTCGGCGAATCCAAAACATTGTCGACTGCGACTGCTCCGGAAAATGGGTACAGCACAGACGGGCGGTATGTGTCGCGCAGGACACGAGTCTATTCGCTGTATTTTAACTAACGGAAATCTAAATCTTACCACCACGACTGACGTGCTTGTGTGTTGCGGTTAAACTACTATACACACAGGCGCTCACGGGACCTATATTAGGCCATTTAGCGAAATCGAAAATTGAACAGCACACGTACTCGCGGCTGGCGTACACGGGCGCTAAATCGTAAGTTGTTGTCCCGAAGCAAACACGTGCGGGTCGGCCCCACAATTATTATACCACACGTACATACGACATTTATACCTAACGTTGAACCGACGTTGGACCGTAATTAATGCGATTGGTACGGTGCAGGCTGTGGCGACGCAAGCGGGTCGATCCATTTAACGCAAGACCCTCACGTTTTCAGAAAACGATAGCGTTTTTGGAAATATTTATTTCGTGTGATTTTAAGTCGTTACAATGCGACATTTTCGGAAAAAATCTATTTTTCACTATTTTCTCGTAGTCAGTTTGCAAAAAAAAAAAAAATAGTTTTTACCCTTTTGAATGACAGCATACACATTATTGGTTACATATTCCACAGCAGAATATTACTTTACAGAGTATTTCGAACTATAGATTATAGCGTACTAAGTATTTCACAAGTAGATTATTGGTAATAAATTACAAGTATTTAAAGTTTATATAGCCGGAGTAGTGGACCAAGATTTTCGGAGTACCAGCCCTGGTACACTCCACTTCGGTCGTCTAAACTTTAAACCATTACTTGTAATAGACTATACTAGTCCAAAATGCTATTATTATTTATCTAAAGACTCCAAAACATATTCATTTTGATGGAATATCGAATTAAAAATGAATGCTGTCATTAAAAAAAAATCGATAACAGCAATAAAAATAGAAAAAATTCATTTTTCTACAAAAATTACTCGAAATAATGTAAAAAATATTATTTTCAAAAACGTTTATTGTTTATGAAATATTGAGTGTCTTACACGGAATAGATATAGTGTCGCGGTCATTTAAAACTGAGGGCCATGACAAACGTGAAACGCCTCACGTGCACACGACACACAGACACACTTCAAAGTTCGCGTAACTGCGTGTTTAACGGCGAGCGATAGAGCGACCGCAAAACTGCTGATTACATTATAATTCATATAAATATTATTAAATATCCACACACTGCACGGGTACATAATATAATATATTTATCCACATATTATCATAACAGTATCGTCTATCGTTTGTTCGCGGTTTTGCACGATGAATATTTATGAATTATAATGTCGAGAGACCGCGTCGTATTATTATAATTATCTATGGACGATAATATTGGGTGTACGCATTAAATTTGGACGAAGGCGAAACGAAAACAAATGGACGACAAGAGACAAGAGTCACTGATGTCGTAAGAGATGTCGTTCGTGCCAAGTATATATATGCATCGATACGCATAATGTAATATACCTAAATAG